CCCCCCAACGGTCCCTTCCCCCGGCCGTTGCTCTCCTTCCACCCACGCCATGCATGCATGGGCCTGCAAAAAATTGCATTCCATATTGATGACGAACCATGACGATGGCTAAAAATAGCACTCCCATGCAATGCATGCAATATCACAGCGCCCTCGTCTCCGCAACGCGTACGTCAAGTTAGCAATCGCTTGGAACTCAGGACAAGCTGCACTAAGGTAGTATTGTATGTCTACGTGCATACAGTGCAATCCGACAAATCAGCTGCTAGGTAGTGGTCGTTGATTCACGTATATGATTTCGAAGTGTGTTCGTCAGATCTGCTCAGCCATATGACATAGGTCATACTTCAGTGAGGCATGCGCCTTTGCCGGTACTTGGACCTTCGACTTTCCCTTTCCCTGACATAACAATGGCAGCAATGGTTACGGTAGATCTCAGGACTTGGGGGACGGCAGCACCCGTCAGCTACCGCGACACCCGCAATATCTGCAGTTCGTGTAGAGTAGGGCCCATAAACGCTGATGTTATCGAATGCCTCTGACGATCGATCTCCCATCTCAGCCTTGAACGGCCACGCCCTATCAATCAATCAATGGACGTTCTCCAATCCAAATCCAATCCAATCCAATCGTTGAACCCGATTAATCTTGGACGTCATGCAATCTTATCCAATCTTATCCAATCTTATCCAATCCTATCCAATCCTATCCAATCCCATCCAACTCAGTGGAATGCAATCCATCTGAGTACAATCGAATCGAATCGAATCGAATCAAAACGAATCAAACGTTAGAATCCAATCAAATCCTTCACGTCATCCAATCCAATCCAAACCAATCCAATCAGTCGAGCCCAATCTTTATGCCAGATCAAATCTTGGACGTCACGCAAGCCTATCCAGACCAATCCGTTCCAATAGAACGCAGTCCATCTGAGTACAATCCAATCCAATCCAATCCAATCCAATCCAACCCAACATTCGAAGCCGATTAATCTTGCACGTCATCCAATTCAATCCAATCCAATTCAATCCAATCCCATCCAATCCAATCCAATCCAATCCAATCCCATCCAATCCCATCCAATCCAATCCAGTCCAATCTTGGAATCTTTGAGCAATTCAGACGCACACTGGTGCCTCTGGCAGCGGTCACCTGCTTGCCACTTCGGCACTCATTTCGTTTCTTGAGGAGCTTGTGAGTCTTCGGACGTTGCCTCGGGCTGCTCGGACGGACCGTCTGCTGCATTCCACTCTAATAATCTCATCGGCTTTCAAATGTCCATACCAGCGGATGCGGGCGTTGCTTGTCGCTCTTTTCCTTCGTGGGATTCTTATGCTGCACATAATTATACTCGCTCTCTCTCGAACCGCCGCTGCGCAGAGTATTATCCTTGCTGTCTTGACCAGATAACGGAGAAACCGCCGCTGTTGCTTCAGCGATCAATCAAGTGCATGGGCGGGCGGAATCTCTCTCTCTCTCGAACCGTCGGCCGGCCAGCATTCAACGAACAAACCACGTGGCGCGCGCTAGGATTGGGAGGCGAGGAGGGGGTGGGGGAAGCGGGGGGGAAGGGGGGGAAAGGGGGTAGGAGGGAAAGAGTTGTGAGCCTGAAACGCGATCCGACTAAAGAGGACCGAGCCCAGCGTGACACGTAGGTCATCATGAGGTTGCCACGTCACCAGTCCCGGTCCCTTCGTCAGGCTGCCATACGTATCTCAGTCCATTCTCCCCCTGCATCCTGACATACCGACCCGCCGGTCGCTTTCTTGCCTGCGGCTGGGGACGGTCCCCCCCCGCTTCCCCCCCCTCTTTTCCTCTCTGATCAGCCAAACCTTTTTCTTTCTGGCCTGCAAGCGAGACAGTAGCGCCCCCTGCCCTGATACTGCCGATAGCACTACCACTACCACCACCACCACCACCACCGCCCCCGGTAGAGGTGCTAGTCATGCCAGCCTCTCTTGTGACCTTGTCCAGCCAGCTCCGCAGCGGCCCGTCCGGCCGCAGGCCTACGTCCTGCATCCGTTGCATGGCTGCCTGCGCCTCTTCTACCCTCCCCCCTCTTAGGTACCCCGCGACGAGCGCGGTGTAGATGGCCCCCGTCGGCCGCACCCCTGCTTCCCTCATCTCCACCAACACCTTCTCCGCCTTATCGTACATCCTCGCTCTGCAATACCCATCCAACAGGGTGCAGTAGCTGATCTCCGACAGCTTCAACCCCTCCGCTTTCATCTCGTCGAAGATGCTCTCCGCTTTCTCCAACCTCTTCGCCTTCCCGTAGGCATCCATAATGGTGTTGTACGTGACCTCTGCCGCCCTAGGAGTCGCCCGCGACGACTCCTTCCCCCCCACCTTTCCTATCCCTCCCCCCACCGTCACCGCCCACGCTCGCATATCCTCCACCCACCTCTCCATCTCTTCCAGCTTCCCCCTTTTACCATACCCGCCGATCATCACGTTATACGTGATGCGATCGGGACCCATCCCCCGACTGCGCATGTCTGCCACGCACTTCTCCGCCTTCTCCAACTGCCCGGACTTCATAAGTGCGCTCGCTAGCGCGTTGAAAAATATGCTCGACGGTCCCAGCCCCGCAGCCACCAGGTCCGCGAACGCGGCCTCCGCGTCCTTCCACATCCCCGCGTTGCCCAAGCCCTCAATCAACAAGAGATAAGTCACTTTGTTGGGCTGCACGCGGCGCTCTTTCATAGCGTCGCGCACCTTTTGCATCCCCTCCGCCCCCCCTCGCTTCCCGTACGCAGCAATCATGCTGTTGTACGTGAATGTCGTGGGTTCGATCCCCTTCTTCTTGAGCCGCTCGTACAGGTTCTCCGCCTCCTTCAACCTGCCCGCCTTCCCCAGCGCATCAATCAACGAGTTGTAGGCCATCACCGAGTAGCTGCCCTCCGATTCCATCTGATCCAGCGTCTCGATGGCCTTGTCGAAGGTCCCCTCCTTTCCGTACCGATCAATCAAGACCGTGTAGGTCACCTCGGTCGGCGCCAGTCCCGACTTGCTCATCTTCGCGCGGACCTCCTCCACCTTGTCTAATCTTCCGGCCTTTCCGTACATATCCATCAGCGCAGTGTAGGTGCGATCGTTGGGACCCGCGCCCTCGCTGCTGCCGTCCATCCCCAAGCGCCTGCGCATGGCCGCGTCCATGCCCTCGCTGTCCCGCGCATCCTTCTCCATGGCTTCCGCCACCTCCTCCGCCTGCTCCAGCAGTCCGCAGCGCGCGTAGGCGGTGATCAGCGCATTGCAGAAGACAGTGTTCTTGTCGCAGTTGCGCGCCGCCATGCGCTCCTCGATGGCGCGCACTTTCTCCGGATTGTTCGCGCGCCCGTAGCCATCGACCAGCGCCGTGTACACATGGATGGGGACGTCGATCCCCTTCTGAACGATCCGCTCGACAATCGCCTCTGCTTCATCCATCTTTCCCTTCTTGCCATAAGCATCCACTAGCATAGTGAAGGCCACCCCGTCGGGCTGGTGTCCCGCCATAGCCATCTCCTCGATAGCTCCTTCGGCGAGCTGGACATCCCCCTTCTTGCAGTACACGTTGATCATCGTCTTGTACAGCAAAGAGTCGGCCTCCAGGCCACGTGCCTTCATTTCCTTGAATAGCTCATCGGCTTTATCCCATACCTGTTCCTTGGCGCACAGGTTGATTGCCGAGTTATAGCTGAACCTGTCTGGCCGCAAGGGCTCCTCCTCCTCCTCCTCCTCCTCCTCCTCCTCCTCCTCTTCCTCCTCATGCACCTCTCCGTCTTCCTCCTCTCTTCCTGTTTCGAAGGAGGAGCTTGCGGTCTTCAGCTCGCTTGGTCTCCCCACTCCTGCTCTCTCCCGCCTCTCTGCCTCTGCCTTTAACGCCTCCAGGACCTCGAGCGCCTTGTCCACCTTTCCTTCTTGAGCATATGCCGAAAGCAAGGCGTTGTAGCTGTATACATTCGGCAAGCAGCCATCCTCTTGCAGCTCTTTGAAGATCTGATTCGCCCGCTCCCCATCGTGAAGTCTGCCCATCGCCGCCATCAACCGGTTATACAGACGTAGGTCGGGACGATATCCCGCCTGTTGACGCATCCACTTGAACATCTGCTCATCATCGGTACAATTTTTTCACATTCCGACCACAGCAGCAGAGGAGCAGCAGGAAAAGGACAGGAGGAACCCAAAGATCAGCCACTCTGTGCGTTCGTGTGTGTGTGTGTGTGTGTGTGTGTGTGTGT